GCAGTGGGAAGGATTTGGGATCGGCTGGATGGGATCCAGCAGTGGGGAGGATTTGGGATGGGCTGGATGGGATCCAGCAGTGGGAAGGATTTGGGATGGGCTGGATGGGATCCGGCAGTGGGAAGGATTTGGGATGGGCTGGATGGGATCTGGCAGTGGGAAGGCAGCAGTGGGAGCAGAAGGATTTGTTGGTCTGGATGAGCAGCTCCAGCTGCAATTCCCAGAGTTTGGGTTTCATCCCTGTGAGAAAAGGCAGGAAAGGCCGAATCCTGCCTGGAATCCTCCCTTGGATCCTACAAAACCCCACAAATCCCCCCAGGCACCGATGCTGCCCTTCCCAAGCGCTCCCAAACTCTGGGTGCTCCCAGCCCCACAGGGGCATTGCTGGAGGTTCCAGGGCTCCATTCCCATCCCGTTCCCTCAGGAGATCTGCCCGTGCTGCAGCCCCTCCGGCACCCGGGTCCCGCTGGGCAGAGCCTGGGAGGGATCCGCTTGGGAGGGGTCAGTTTGGGAAGGGTTCATTTGGGAAGGGTTCATTTGGGAAGGGTTATTTTGGGGTTATTTTGGGAAGGATTATTTTGGGAAGGATCCATTTGGGAAGGATTAATTTGGGAAGGGTTAATTTGGGAAGGGTTCATTTGGGAAGGGTCCATTTGGGAAGGATTAATTTGGGGTTATTTTGGGAAGGATCCATTTGGGAAGGAGTAATTTGGGAAGGGTTAATTTGGGAAGGGTTCATTTGGGAAGGGTTATTTTGGGGTTATTTTGGGAAGGATTATGTTGGGAAGGATCCATTTGGGAAGGATTAATTTGGGGAGGATTAACTTCGGAAGGATCCATTTGGGAAGGGTTAATTTGGGAAGGGTTATTTTGGGAAGGATCCATTTGGGAAGGATCCATTTGGGTTCCAGGTGTGGGTGGGATTCTCCCGCCGGGATGCAGCTGGGAAGGAGGATCCTGCCTTCCCCCTCCCTCCTTCCCAGCTGTCCCTGCCTCAGCTCAGCCTGGAGCCAGCAAATCCCTGGGCTCATCCCTTCCCAATTCCCTGGGAATTCCTTTCCTTCGTGGGGAGAGGAGGGAAGCTCCAGGGGCAGCTCCAGGCAGGCGACCTTTGGATTTCCGGCCTCTCCCACAGGGTTGGGATGTTCTCCTTGTCTCCGGGGCTGGGAACGGATCCCAAGCCGGGCTGGTGGTGGAGAAAAGCCATTCCCAACCTGGACTGGGATCCTGGGGATCCGGTGGAAAATCTCTCCCGACTTTCTGCTCAAAGCGGGGATTTGTCCCTCGGCTCTGAGCAAATCCCTCTGTCCCTCCTTCCAAGGATCCTCTGCACATCCCAAGGTCCCAATGGAGCCTGGAAAACCTGGGGACACCTGGACAACCCACAAAGGGATGAGTGTCCAGCTGGACATGGAGCTGGTGTGACCTTGTTCTCCCCGTGCCTCAGTTTCCTGGGATTGGAAAACGGGGACGATGCCCGTGTCCCGCTGGATGAGAGCACTGGGAATTCGCTGGGCTATAAAAATCCACGTAATCCAAGATTCCAGCGGATTGCCATGGGAACAGACCCTCCCCGTGCACCCTTGGAGCTGAGGCCGGAGTCATCGTCCCTCTGATGATTCTCCAGGACATTTCCAACCCACCTGGACATTTCCATGTCCCTTGGTGTCCCACCTGGAACCTCCCCGTGGCCACGCCCTGGATGGGGCTGGTGGGATCTCATTTCCTCCTCTTGCTGAGCATCTCCAGGGGAAGAGCAACCAAATTTCCTCCCCAGATTTCTTTCCCAAATTTCTCTCCACCTCCCAAACCTACCGAATGCAGGGACGAGGGAAGAGGTGGAATTTCGGCGGGGCTGGGAGGTGGAGAGAAAGGTTTTGAGGAAGGAGGGCCGGGAAAGAGCAGGATGAGCACGGATGGTGTGTGGATGAAGAGCTGAAGCTGGACCAGCTGGAAAACCGAGGTCGAGCCACGGGAAAGTGGGAAGGGACAAGTGGGAATTGTGGTGGGACCCAATGGAGCAGCCATGGAGCTGCCTGCGTCTCCTGGGATCCAAACCCCCCCGAGGCCGTGGGGTGGCCCTGGTGTCCCTGTGGGGACACAGGGGCCCTGTGGGTGGGGAGCTTGATGGTGACAAATCCAGGGAAAACCCAGGAGGAGGATCTGGGAGATCCCTCCTGAGGTTGTCCCGGTACTTTTCCCTTCCCAGTGGATCGCTGGCTGCGGCAGGGACAGCTTGTGGTGGGATTTGGGAGGGTGGGGACATGGCCACAAGGCCGAGCTGGGGGAGGTTTTGGAATCCCTACGGGGACGATGATCCCCGGAGCAGCCGGGGCAGGAGATGGGACACCAGAGCATTGGAAACTCCAGAAATGGCAGCTTTAATCAGGAACCTTCCCGGGTGACGCGTCCCCCGTGCCCCGCTGGCGACGGGAACCTCTTCCCTGCGCGTGGAAATGTCCGGAAGGAACGACGGAGGAGGGCGGGGAGGAGAGAAGGGCGGGAGAAGGATGCGAGGTCGCTGGATGGGTCAGAACCAGACAAGGCCGCTGTCACACATCGGTCCCCTCGGGCGGTGGCCCGGTCACTTCCTCCGCCCGATCTGGGCCATGAGGTGGGCGTTGGCCGCCGCCTTGGCCCGCAAGTTCTTGGCCTTGGCGATGTTGAAGAGGATGTTCATGATGTTGGTGGGGACGTCGAGCGACAGCGTGACCTTGGTGTGCCGGTCGCTCTTGGCCCGGTTCTGCGAGCTCTTGCCCTTCAGCCGCGCCTGGGACGAGTATCGGGAGTGGCCGTCCCCCGGGAATGTCCTTTTCCCCAGCTCTTCCTCCGCGTCCTCCTCGGACGCCTCCTCCAGGGACAGCGACTCGGAGCCGCGCTTGTCCAGGACGGCGTTTTCCTCGGGATGGATCTTCTGCGCTTCCGACAGGGCGGCGTTGAGGCAGCTGAAGATGGAGGCGGCGTTGGAGAGGCTCAGGGCCCGGCCAGTCCCGGCAGCTCCGAGCAGGATGAGGAGGAGCAGCAGCCTGGGGTGGGACATGGCGGTGGCCTGGCCGTGGAGACACCGAGGAGAGGGATGTGAACTTCCCGTGGGACCTGGGGAGATCCAGCCTCTCCTCATCCCTTCCCAATCCCTAAACTCCCCTCCCTGCGCCCTTGGAGTCTCCTCCCAGGTCCCATCTAAAGGTTAGGACAGGTGGGAATGAGCTTCCTTGAGATTTGGGGTGCTGGTGGCAGGTGGGATGTCCAAGGAGCTTCCCTTCCATGGAGCTTCAGTGGAGCTTCCATGGAGGTGAGGATTTAACCTTTGGAACTTTCATGGAACTTCCATGGAGGAGAGGATTTGGCCTTTCCTTCATGGAACTTCCATGAAACTTCCATGGAAGGAAAGATTTGGCCTTTCTTTGGAGCTTCCATAGAGCTTCCATGGATGGGAGGATTTGGCCTTTGTGGAATTTCCATGGAACTTCCACAGAGTTTCCATGAAGGTGAGGATTTGACCTTTGGAGCTTCCATGGAACTTCCATGGAGGAGAGGATTTGGCCTTTGCTTCCATGGAGCTTCCGTGAAACTTCCGTGGAAAGAAAGATTTGGCCTTTCCTTGGAGCTTCCGCAGAGCTTCCATGGAGGGGAGGATTTGGCCTTTCCTTTGTGGAATTTCCATGGAACTTCCACAGAACTTCCACAGAAGAGAAGATATGAACTTTGCTTCCATGGAACTTCCACAGAGCTTCCATGGATGAGAGGATTTGACCTTTGCTTCCATGGAACCTCCGCGGAGAGGAGAATTCGGCCTTTCCTTCACGGAACACACGTGGCTGCTGCTGGAGACCCGGTTTGGACCACGGGGACGATTCCCATGGATCCCTCTCCACCTCCTCCTACTTGAAATATCATCATTTTTGGGGTCATTTTGGGGTCATTTTTTGGTCTTTTTGGGGTCTTTTTTTGGGTCATTTTTGGGTCTCTTTGGGGGCTGTAAATCCCTGGAAAACTCTCCTGCTCCACAACCCCTCCCCATCTCCCTTTATCCCCAAAAAGCCACCAAGGATCTGCGGGGCTTTTTGCCCATTCCCAGGATGGAAAAATATCCCAAGCTCATGGAATCCTTCTGGAATTCCCAAAAAGCTGGAATCCTTCAGGAATTCCCAAAAAGCTGGAATCCTTCTGGCATTCCCAAAAACCTTGAATCCTTCTGGCATTCCCAATCTTCTGGCCCCATCTTGTGGCCAGCGGCTCTCACGACAATTCCTGGCTGGGGAAAATCCCCAGGGATTCCAGCTGGGGCTGGAATTCCATCCTTGATTTTGGGGTTGGGAGCTGCTGGTTCCATTCCCGCGCGGGCTTGCGGAGCAGCCGGATTTCTTGGGAATATCCCTGGGAATGAGGGATCAGATCCATCCAAACTCAATCCATGGCCCGGGATCTGTCATGCTCCCTGAAAATGCCCTTCCCTGTCCATGGAGGTTTGGGAATTCTCATCCTCTAAATTCTGCCTTTTGTCATTCCTTGGAGAGGGAATTTTGGAAAGGTTTATTCCCTGAATTCTGCCTTTTGTCATTCCTTGGAGAGGGAATTTTGGGAAGATTTATTCCCTGAATTCTGCCTTTTGCCATCCCCTGGAGGAGGAATTTTGGGAAAGTTTATTCCCTGAATTCTGCCTTTTATTGTCCAGGGAGGGGGAGATTTGGGAAGGTTTATCCCCTTAACTCTTCCCTTTTCCATCCCTTGGAGATGGAATTTTGGGAAGGTCTTTTCCCTTAAATCTGCCCCTTGCTGTTCCTCAGAGTGGGAATTTGGGAAAGTTTATTCCCTGAATTCTGTCCTTTATTGTCCATGGCAGGGGAATTTTGGGAATTTTCATCCTCTAAATTCTGCCTTTTGCCATCCCCTGGAGAGGGAATTTTGGCAAAGTTTAATCCCTGAATTCTGCCCTTTGCCATCCCCTGGAATGGGAATTTTGGGAAGATCTCCCCCCTTCAATTTTCCCTTTGCTGTTCCTCAGAGCGGGAATTTTGTGCAGCTTTATCCCTTTGATTCTGGTCTTTGCTCTCCACAGAAAAAGGGAGAGATGTGGGAATTTTGTTCCCTTTCCCACCTTCCCAAGGCGAGGTTTGGTTGTTCCAATCCTCCCTCAGGATTCCATTTCCGCTTCTTTCCCTCTCATTTCTCCCTTCCCAAAACTCCTCAGGGCTTCCCAAAAATCCATCCCCTCAACCCTTCCCTGGATCCGGCTGGGAGAGGATGAGGAAGAGCCATGGAATGATCAAGGGAAAGCAGGAAAACCCTTCCCAGGATCCCACATGGGAACATTTAGGACCCCAAACTTTCCATTCCTCCAGCCCCAAATCTCACATTTGGAGATTTAAACATGGGAATATTCCAGGATTTAATTTTTCTTGGAAAAGAGGATGGAGATTTGGCAACAGGGATTTTTCCATGTGTTCCAAGGCTGAGGCTCCTGAAGGACTCAGGATTTCTCCCACCCCAAAATTCCCCTTTTTTTTTTGTTTTTCCCAGCTGTTTCACCTCGCTCCACCCTCACCAAATTCCCGGAGCTCCTGCGGGATGGGATGCTCGGGGTGTGAATTTTGGGATCGGGGATTTTCCCAGCCCCGGGGGATGGATCATTGCGTGATTCCCAAATCCCGGATGGGGAATGGGAATGTTGCCAAAAACTCTTCCCGAGCTTCCTGGGGGACTCCTGGGATTTTCCTGCCCCGCCTGGAATCCCGGAGCTGCATTTCCTCCGCGGCTCCTTCACCACTGACTGAATCCAGCGCCTTTTCCTGGGATTTTTTTTCCCAGCTTTTCCCGCTTAACAAAACTCTGGGAATTTCAGCTGAGGAAAGGGTAAGGCAGAACAAGAGGAAAATGCGGCTGGAGCCATCCACACCCATTCCTGCTCCTCGCCGGGATGGATATCCTGACAAAACGAGCAGAAATCAAAGGAAAAAAAACAAGGAAAAGCTGATTTTTTGGGATTGGGTGCATTTTTGCCGGGGGGTTTGTGCCCCACCGCTCCAGGAAGTTTTTATGGAGCAGGAAAAAAAGCTGGAATTGGGTTTTTCTTCGCTCTAAAAAATGGCAGGAAAAGGAGGAAAACCCACCCGCGGTGGATCCGAGGAGATGGGAATGAAATCCGCGCTGCCGGAGGGAGCCGCTCCTCCCGCTGGGAACTGCTGGGATACCCAGGAGCGTTTTCCAGGAATTTTCTCGGGATGCTGCCGAGCCGGCAGGAGCGTTTGTGTCTCCTGGGAAATCTCCCGCTTGCTTTGGAAGGAGGAAAACGCCCAAAATCCAGCTCTGGAAAAGCGGGATCGGAGCTTTCCGGCCGCTCCTCGGGACCGGGATCGGGATGGAGCGGGATTCTCCCTGATCCAAAGTAAGTCTGGGATAAAACTGTGGATGGGACCTGGAGACTTCTTAAACTCTGCCTGCCTCCGCTTCCCTGAGGAGCTTTTCCCGGTGCTGATTACCAAAATCCAGTGCCTCGCTCTCCTCCCCATCCCTGCGGTGCCAGCAGGGATTTATCTCCCGGTTTTTCCTTTTCCCAAATTTTCCCAATCCTTCCCCATGCTCCCTATTCCGATCCACCTCCCAGAATTACCGGAATAATAATAATAATAATAATAATAATAAAAACAAATAAATTATTTTTCCTAGGAGGGACAGCGATGGGAATTTTGAATCCCTTGATATCCAAATACCTTGGATTGCTTTTCCCAATTCTGCCTAATTTTATTTCTCCCTAAAAAAACCCCAAAAAACCCCAAAAAAACAACCCTGGAATCTGATTTCCCAAGGAAAACACTGAAATATTGAAAGTTTCTGGAAACTGGGGAATAAATAAAACCCCTGCACTCACCTGCTTCTCCTGGATTCTTGGGATGGGAAGGATTTGCCGTGGAATCACTCCCGGGAAAGAGGCATCGGGAGCCTTTCCCGAACTTCTCCTCCCTGGCTCTTCCCTGATTCCTTTTTCAGGGACCGGGATATTTTTTTCCCTCTCTCTGGAAACCTTTTCCCCCCTCCCTGGTGTATTTATAAAAAATGAGGGATCACGGGGTTGGAGTCGTAATTCCAGACGCGGAGCCGTGCTTTGGGAATGATTTCATTAAAATGAGATCAGAGCGAGCCGGCGACGTCACGGAGCCTCTCCCCATCCATCCGCAGGGAAAAAATCCGGGAAAAGGAGGGGGGGGAGGGAAAAGACGTCGGATCCCAAAAAATCTGGGAAGAGTCACCCCAAAGTGGGGCTGGCATTTTGTAGGATCACGCATGGCTTTGTCCCCGGGGTTTTGGGGGCAGGGATGTTTTAATTCCAAAGGTTTTTCCGGCTCTGAAGATTGTTGGCGTTCCAGCATGGATTGACGTTATCCCAATGAATGTGGTTTTATTCCCAGAGTGGGGATTTGGGAGGGTTTTCCCTGTTTTTCCCCATTTCCAGGGAATTTTTCCCATTCAAGCAGGGAAAACCCTGGGAAATGGAAATTTTGGGAAACTTCTTCCGGGATTTGTTGGCACGATCCCGGGTGGAGCTTTGGAAGAGGATGGGAAGGACGAGGTGTGGGATGAGGGAAGAAATCTCCAATTCCCTGAAACTCCAGCAGGATTAATTTGGGATTAATCCCAAAAATCCAGCAGCCGGGTGGGAAAAAATCCCAGTTTGGGCTCCCAGCACCAGACTGGTCCCAGTGTGGGATTCCCAGAGAGGAAATTCCTGGAATCCCCCAAGGTTTGGGAGCAGGAGAGACGGGGATGGGAATTTGGGAACAAGGATGGGGATTTGGGAACAGGGATGGGAATTTGGGAACAGGGATGGGGATTTGGGAACAGGGATGGGAATTTGGGAACAGGGATGGAGATTTGGGAACAGGGATGGGAATTTGGGAACAGGGATGGGGATTTGGGAACAGGGATGGGGATTTGGGAACAGGGATGGAGATTTGGGAACAGGGATGGAGATTTGGGAACAGGGATGGGGATTTGGGAACAGGGACGAGGATTTGGGAACAGGGATAGAAATTTGGGAACAGGGATAGAAATTCGGGAACAGGGATGAGGATAGGGATTTGGGAACAGGGATGGAGATTTGGGAACAGGGATTTTCCATGGGATCCAAGGAAGATCTCAGGTCTCTGGTGCTCCCTCCAAAGGGTCCCACCATGGATTTGTGGCTGGGCCGGGTTCTCCTGGAGGCTCCAGGACCAAATTATCCAAACTTCCTTCCTGAAACTTCCTTGGGAAAGCCATCACCGAGCTGGAGGGGAGCTGTTATCCCTGGGAACGGGGAAAATCCTGCAAAAAGTGGGAAAATCCATGGAAAAACCCCCGGAACTGGCAGAGACCCAGGATGGGCTCTGATTTTGGGTGGGGAGATGTTCCCACTCCTGGCCTGGAGAGAAGGAGCCAAAATCATGGGAATTCCTGGATGAGGATCCAGGATCTGAGCTGGGAATGGTGGGAGCTTCCCTTTGGCTCCAAACTTTGGGAATTCTGCCCAACGGGATCCGCCTCTCTGGCAATTCCTTCCTCTCTCACCGCAATTCGGAGCTTCCGGCTCCTGGAATGAGGTTTTGGCTTCCCTCCTTCCCCGAGGTCTGGGTGGGAATTTTCTTCTCCCAATGTTTGGAATTTTGGAGCTGTTTCTGGCAAAGAAAACTCCCAAAAAACTTCAACACAAGGAGCTGGGTGGGAAAATCCATGGAAGGGATTTTTCCAAGGAAAAGGATCGGGGCACGGCCCCGAGAGATTTTTCCACCTCCGGATCCGATCCTGGGGTGTTTTCCCAAATTTTATTCCCCCACAGATTTATTTTCCCGTGAAAATCTTTGCTGGGAAGGGAAAAATGTCCTGGTAGGAGGCTCCAGACCCGGGAATTTCCGTGTTTCAGACATGGAATTTTCACGGTGGTTTTCCTAAGGAAAAATAGGAAAGAGAGGGGAAAAAAGAAGGAATTTCCTGGTTCATCCCTTGAAAAGTAAATCCGACTTTTTTGGCTGCCACGGTTTGGATTTCCCCAGGAGGAGCAGAGAGGAGAATTTGCTGCAGGAAAATTGTATCTCCAAGGGAAAAATCCGTAGAAACATCCCTAGGGAAAGATGGAGCTGAGCCAGGAACATCCAGGGGCACCCAGAGGCCTCAAACTTTCCGGAAGTTTCCCCGATAAATCCCAAACTTTTGAAAAAGGCAGGATGAGAGGAGCATTCCCACACATCCCTCGGATTCCGGAGGATCAGGACCCTTTTCCCACCTCTCCTCACCTTTCCCGGGAGCTGAATTTCCGGGAGTGAATCATCGCTTGGAGCTCATTAAAGTTTCATCTCCGCAAGCCGGGGAAAATCAGGGATTTGGGCTCTTTTCATCCCAGGAACTTCGAAAACCAAAATAAAATCCCAAATCCAGGAAGTTTTTCCAGGCCCAGGAAATCCCGTTTGGTGCTTCCAGCACCGGAATTCCATGGAAGAGTCAGATGTGGATGCGCCGAGGGACAAAAAGGATTTTTCCGCTCGGTTTTGTCCCTTTCCCCCCAATTTTTAGGACTCGATTTGCGTTTTCCAGGCTGTGGAAGGAGGAGAATTTCCCTGGGAAATTCCCAGTTTCCCCAAAATCCTACAATGAACTCTTCCTCTGCCTCGAGGCTGATTTAGGGAATTTTATGGGATTTTATGGGATTTTTTTTCCTTAAAATCCCATTTTGGGGGTGGTTTTCACTCCTTCCGACAGCTCAAATCCACAAAGTTTTCCCAAGGTGGCCAAATATTGGAAAGCTCCATCCAATGGGAAGAGAAGAGCCGGGAAGAGAGAATTTGGAGGAATTATTTTGCCTTTTTTGCGCTTTTTTCCGCCTTTTCCGAGGGGATTTGCATCCCTGGATTTCCACAAAGCTCTCCTTGTTTCATCTTCTGGGGAATTAATGAAATTAATTCAATTGATTAAATTAATTAAAGCCTTTTGGAGCTTTTGGATGCCAGTGGGATGTCAGGAAAACTCCTTGGGATGAACTGGATTGGGGCTTTTTTTGGAAATTCCCAAAAATCCCTTGGGCCAAACCCAAAATTCCAACTCCACGGGCAATGGGAATGATTTTAATGGAATTAAAACTTGGATTTTGCGGCTTTCCCTCCAAAGGAAGAGGAGAAAAAAGTGATGGAAAAGGAAAAATAATCCCAAATCCTCCACATTTTTCCTGGAATGTTTTTATTCCTTTCCCTCATCTCCTTCCCCTTTTCCAAAGGGATTTTTGCACCTCCCTGAATGCACATTCCACGTTGGAAGGACCAAAAAAAAATCCAGGAAAATGCGAAGGGAGCCTGGATCCTCACACGGACTCCGGGAATTTTCCCTGGTTTTGTGTGTCCCGATGTAAAATCCGCTTTTATCCCAAGGATCTGAGTCTTGATGGAGCTGCTCCCGCTTTTTCCTGCATCCAGAGCTGGGATCTGATCCCACTGCTGAGGCTGGGAAAGGCTGGAAAAGGCTGGAAAAAGATGGAAAAAGATGGAAAAGGCTGGAAAAGTTCAGGGAATATTTTGTTCCCTCCAGGTGGGTTTTGTTGCCTTTCCAGGATTTTTTCGCCAGGATTTTCTGTGTGGTTTCAGGTGCCAAATGGAGCAGGACAAACAGCCCCAGGTGGGTTTTTCCCTTGGTTTTCCAGGGGCAAACCCATCCCAATTTTTCCCTCTGGCAGAGCTGCCTGGAATTGGGGTTTTTCCAGGCTTTTCTGATGATTTTTCGCCTTCCCGGGGATGCTGGGATGCAATTCCAGCCATGGGATGGGATGGGATGGGATGGGATGGGATGGGATGGGATGGGATGGGATGGGATGGGATGAGGATTTGGGAACAGAGATGAGGATTTGGGAACAGGGATGGGGATTTGGGAATGGGGATTTGGGAATGGGGATTTGGGAACAGGGATGGGGATTTGGGGACAGGGATTTGGGAACAGGGATGGGGATTTGGGATCAGGGAAGGGGATTTCACCCCAAAAGGACTGTGGATGGCAGGAAAACCTCCTGGAGAGGATGGACAGAGTCACGGAGGCTTTTCCAAGATTTAGGCCAGGCTGGATGAGCCGTCCTTGCCCATGGGATGAGCATGGATCCATGGGCTGGATCCTTTCCAAGCCAACCATTCCATGATTCCAGGATTAAATCCAGCCCTCCATTAACGGCATCTTTAATTCCTCCCCTTGTAAAAATCCATAATTAACGAGCCTGGCTGAACGCAATTCCAGCTGGGAACGATCCCACCCAATTCCACCGGGGATTTGCCGGGCTGCTTTTCCATCTGCCAGGATTCTGTCGGCTCCTTCCCGACGTATCCAAGCCCATCTCCCGGCACATCCAGAGGGTGCTGGATGAGGCTCAGCCGTGGCCATTTCAGGGCTGGCTCATTATCCAATTACCGAATTATCCCAATCCAGCCTCTCCTCCCTCTCCATCCCTTTTCCTTTGTCAGGGTTGCTTAGGAACTGCTGCGGACATTGGAGGCTGTGGACGGGAGAGTTTCAAGATTCCCTGGCTGGATGCACCGGGAATCTCCTCCTGGAAAGGAGCTGGGAGCACTCCTAAATCCATGGATTCGCATCCCTGGGCTCAGCGCTGGAGCCGCAATTCCCTTGGATCGGAACACGATCCAAAATCCCTCTTTATTCCCAAATTCCAAGAGGATTTACCAGCGTGCTCGATGTGCTTTAAATCCCAGAATTCCAGTGTTCAGCTTTGCTTTTTCCAAGGCCAAAGGATGTTCGGGAATTTTCTGGTTCAGAGCCTGGACAGCCCTAAAACCTCCCCCCCCACTCCCGCTCTGAAATCATTCCAAGGAACTCGATTAGGCCGACCTGACATTTCCAGGGAAATGCCGGCGCCCCTTTCCCGGAATGTTTTGGC